GTCAAAAGAACAAATAACCCAATGAAAAATGGAATACAGACCTAAACAGAGAACTTTCAATAGAGGAATCTAAAAGGGCTGAAAGACACTTAAGGAAATGTTCAACATCCTTAGTCATCAGAGAAATGCAAACCAAGGTTTCTTTTTGTAGCCCCACCTATTCTGAAACTTGCTCTGTAGACCAGGATAACCTTATACTAAGAGATTCTGTCTCTGCTTCCTGAGTGCTGGCATTAAAGGAGTATTGTACCATGCCCCAGCATTTCCCTGCTTCCTGAGGTCTTGTTTCTTTATTTCTATTTTAGCTCATTAGTATTTTATATATTCACACATCTATAGTAGATGAAAATTCCTCACTTTTCTTCTTATGTATATGCTTTGAAGAGTTGTGGACAGCTCTTGTATTGTTTCTTGATTGCCAGCCAAGTTACACACATTTAACTTCTTAAATGTTTCTTTATAATTGAGTTAGCTTAGCATTTTTAACCCCAGGAACTGCCCCCCCCATTTCATCTGTACCATGAATGAACAGACAAAAACATCCTATTCCCTGGTTTCTTCTATACCTTTTATTCCGTTACCCTTCTTTTGCTTTTGACATATTTCTAGTTGAGTTAAAGACTGTCAGATATTGTTATTTGGACCATTTTGGCAGTACATGAATGCCTGGCCTTCAATTGTCAATGTTGCACACAGTAATAGCTCCAGAAGTATGTGCTAGAGGAAAGAAAGGAAGTGTAAAAGAAGACTGAGGTGCAAATTAATGCATTCTTTAATAACATGGCAGATTTACCCGTGCCACTTAAAGTAAACCAAAGTACTAGAACTCTTCAACTTAGCTGTCCTTCTGTGATGTTGTATCTGTGTAGTAATCTGAGTTGGAGACCCCTGGTTATTGTTTGAAGTTTAGCCATGTTTTTACTTGGTTTCTTTTCCCTTTTTAAATTTTTTTTCTCCACCATTCCATGCAAGTGATCGGTACTTGCTGTCAAGTTCTGTGGTTATGAACAAAACTGGGCAGGGGATCATTTTGTTGGAAATTACATAGGCTCAGGTGGTAAATGTTTCTTGTCTCTGTATGTAACATTTGAGGCAAGTGCTTTTGGTTCTTGCTATTTCTATGCAAGTCACTGGTCTTTGTTTAACAGCTGCTCCAGTGGAGATACGCAGGCAGAAGCACTAGAAGACCTTTGGTACTATTTATCAACACTGTGTTAGTTATACAACTTTCCTTGCCCTGATTGGCAGGGAGAAGCTTACTGTTTCTAGATGATGCTGAGCTTAGTGTAAACTATGCCAGCATGGGATCTGGGCTTGTCACAGTTCATGAGTCTTTTCAACTGGTGTGTAGAAAATGGATCTCCATCTCTACTTACCTTGTACATTAGAGAGGGAAAGGTCATACTCTAGGAGATAATGACTTATTGGTGACTTTAGTCACCAGTTCAGAGAGCAATATTTAGTTGAAGGTTCAAATAGCACATACTTGGTCTTCTCATTTCTATTAGCTTTGTTGCTAGTACAGATTTGAATAGGCTAGCAGAGAAGGATTCCTGTTTGTGTCTGTGACAACTTTCTAGATGATTGTCATTTAATTTTTCAAGCATATTTTAAAAATAATTTTTTACCTCTTTCCTTATTAAGGCATAAAATATTCAGACTCTAATTAAACTTTTTCCCCAAATTATTTAATTCTGGCAAGGTCAAGGTTAGAATAGCAGCTGAAAAAATTCTTCCTGTGTAGTGTCCTAAAAATATTAATATCAGTTTTCCATATTTTACTCTCTACTTTCATATAAGAATTTAAATATGACTGTGTGATTATGAATAATGTGTTTCACTTAACTATCCTTAAGCAGATAGTTAAGTGACTTGGAACCCATGAAAGTCTAAGTTAGAAAAAGGTAGTTTTTCATGTATCTTCTAAACTGTCAACAGTGTCGTATTCCTCTGTAACATTTTTAGGCAGCTGATACTTTCTTCAGTGTAGCTCTAGTTTCTTGTGTCTTTTCAATGCCTATCAAAGAAAAAACAAAATGCTGACCGGACTTTAAAGGGACAAAACAAAACCTCCAAACAAACAAACAAAAAACAAAAACCCAAGAACCACCGCATGCTAAATTACTCCAGTCTTGATGTGCATCAAAGTGACAGTCTTACAGTGTGTCATTGAGGGAGCAAGAAATAACAAGCAGTTTGGCACTGACACAGGCTTATAGCCAGCAGGTTTTGTGTTTTTTTTTTGTGAGGCAGAGGGTTAAACTTCACTAGAGCACTGAAATAAGGAAAGCAGTGTTGATCTTTCTTACTTAGGCTAGTGTTTGTTTTTTTCTTGCAGACCACCATTGTGTAATGTGTGTGTGTGGGGGTGGGTGGGGGATTGTGGGGTTGTGGGTGTGTTTGAAATACAAGTACCCTTCCTCTGTACAGTTTCCACATTGAGTAAGTGGCATTATTTTGTAGAGGAACTTCTATTGAATTTGCCTTTGTAAGCTTTAGTGGAGATTTTGTTTATGTTTGCATTTGTATTACACATGTGAAACTTTTGTGCAGGCTGCACAATCGATGGGAATTCCTATCTACAACTGCTCTGTTGGAGTCAGAGAACACTGCTGTCACCCACTGTCCCCTCTTCTAAAACCCTGACCCTTGGGGTTTGGAGTGTGATATGTCTGCTTCATTTAGGGTTGCACTCTCTACAGTCTCTTATTCTGTGTATGGTGATCAGTTGAAGATTTCTTGTTAATTGTTGCTAGGAGAAGCATCTCTGATTTGGACTGAGAGATGCCTTGGTAATTGTTTTAATACTATGTCCATTTAGCAGAATAACACTTATTAGGTTCTTTCCTACAGCTTTTGACCTGTCTGGCCACAGGTTCATATCCCGTTTAAAAGTGCCAGGCATGGGTTCCATCCCATGGAATTGGCCATGATATACCCTGTTTAGACAAAAAAATCTGCAACTGCTTCCTGTTTTTAATCTAAAATTCAGGGTCAGTTCTTTTTTTCTTGAATTTTGTCATTTTTAGGAAGTTTGATAAGTTAATAGGTACAGAAATGAGTTTCCATGCATCTAAAGGATACATATTTAATTCCTTTCAAATCAAAATGCAAAGCAAAACAAAACTTTAAAATATATCTCAACTTTCATGAAATTACAGTTGGTAACTTCGTGTCAGAAGTATGAAAATGTGGCATCAGGAGTTTTAAAGGAGCTGGTTTGAACAAGGACTTTTCTCTTTGAGTTAGAATTTTGTGAAAGTTTATAGAATTTCCTCAAAGTATGAATTTATATACTTTTATATTAATAAAAATGATATGCTTTCAAGTTGTATTTTAAATATTAGTGTTTTATGATCAATATACGTATAAAGAATGTTTTTGAAGGAGAGGCTTATATTTTTTAACTGATTTTTTTGTAAAATATTATTTACTTTGGGAGGAAAAACTAATCTGTTCTTGTAACAATATAACATGTGACAGAAAAGAAAGTAAATGGTGATTTGTGCTGGAGTTATTAAGAAGAAGCATTTGTTAATGCTGTGTGTATAGGAAACAATATCTACAATCGATTCTTTAAGATCATTGTGATATCTAACAGCTTTTTTTTTTCTGAGATGTATTTTTCATTTAGAAAGTATTTTAAAATCATCGAAAGGCTTTGGGTAAATGCGTAGATTAGACTTATGTATTAAATAAACTCACCTGTTATTTTCCCTCTTTCAAGACAGGTTCAGCAACACATTGCCTCATTACTTTAGCAAAACAAACAAATATTCAAATTGCTTTTTCTGTTCAGTGCTCATGTACTACTTACTACAATTACCGCTCTTCCAGTGTTTTCTCTTAAGACTATTTTTTTTTCTTTAGGAAGTACTGAAAAGGATTATGATGAGTTGCTTGCCAATTTTTGTGGATTGAATATTTAGGCTAACTTTAACCTTCTGATTATGGCAATATCAGAAGAAACACAACTGAAACTTTATTTACTTTGTTCTGGTTTAAGTTCATTATAGTTTTGACTTCCTAATGACAAGGTTTTTTTTATAATTGGATATATTGAATAGTACTATATATTAAATATTATTAATTTAAAGATAGTTTTATTTAAAATCTCCATTTCATTTCCTGTGCTAAGACAGCTGGGCAGCGGTGGTGCATGCCTTTAATCCCAGCACTTAGGAGACAGAGACAGGTGGATCTCTGTGAGTTCGAGTCCAGCCTGGTCTACAGAGTGAGTTTCAGGACAGGCTCCAAAGTTACAAAGAAACCCTGTCTCGAAAAACAAACAAACAAAAACAAACAAACAAAAAAACCACAAAAGCAAAAACAAACAAAAAACGAGAGAGAGAGAGAGAGAACTATTAACTTAGAAAATACACACATAGGTACATAAGAGAAATGCTATATGTTAGGAATTATAAAATCTAAACAACTTTTGGTTAGTGTTGTTGACATTTTCATTGTAGACAATAAATTCTATTATATTTTGTTTAATTCACAACATGTACTAAGATCTATTTTAGTTTTATATGATATGACTTTCAGAAATTATATAACATGGAAAATTTGTTGGATAATACAAAATGAGATGAATATTTCTTTTAAACTCTTATTATGCCATGTACTAAATTTTTAATTTTGCCTAGTGATTTATTTCATTTAAAAATTAGTATAATTTCAGAAACAACTTTTTAAGTAGATGGTTTAATGTTTTATTTATTATTATACAGCTAAAACACCAAATTCTTATTTCTAAATTGTGTTTCAAAACATGAATATTCTTTCTTTAGGCATACAGAGTGTAGGTCTTTGTCACATTTCAGTAGAGACTACTTTACTAGAGGATTTTTCTTAATATTTATATTTAACTAATTTCGATATATTTGAATTTCTCCTGTGCTAATGTTATAAAATACTTTCACAAGTGTTCATATTTTCTGTGACATCTCACATAGCTCGGTTTTTGTCTGAAATACCATATGACTTCCCTCTTTCAGGCTTACACTGCATGTTTTAAACTGCTGCTAGTACATGCAAGGTAAGATGACATTTAGATCTTTGAGCAACTCTCAGTTTTAATATCAGATTTTTTTTTTAAAAAAAATCCTTGTCTTAAATCTTCTCACATTTCCTATTAAAACAATTTTATCAACACTGAACAAAGAAATTCAGAGTTTTGGCTATAACAGCAATTGAAATGCATCAAAAAGTGGTGACTACAATACAGTTTCATTAATGAATGATCTACATTGGTTCCAGCTGTGTCCATGTGATTAGGCCTTCACCAGGCAACAATGGGTATTTCCCTGTTGCTTTTATTTGATTTCCAAGAATGTGTCATCTGATACATCAGCTTCTGCCAATGTGCCTCTGTAAAAATGTGGGGCTTTTTTCCCCCTAAATTTCCAAAGCATAAGTTGAATACCCACAAACACCCTGCTGCAATACTGTTTCTTTTGAGTAGTGGCCTAGGTTTATATGCATGGGTGTTGTTGCATCCCAAATCTCAGACTACAAATTAAAGCAGATGCTTCTTACAGTTTATTAGTAAAATTTACAAAGTGTACTTGCATGATAATGCTAAAGATAATGTTTCTGCCTTTACATTTCCATCTTAATATTTTTTCAGTGTTATAGAGGTGAACAGACTTGCAGATTGAAATATGATTATCTAGACTGTCCCTATCCCTGACCGTATGGTATATTTCTAAAGTCTTTTGTATGCTGTTTGTTTGGATAATTGTAAACTCTATTTTTAGTGCACATTCCCCAAAAGATAACCAAATAAAAGTAGGCTCTAGAGGAGGGGTTGTGAATCATGTAAGGATTCTAGAATTATTTTAAAAGAGAAAATAGATGAAATTGAAGTTGATATCCTCTTCCAAACATAGGTGAATGCTATTCTCTTATTATTTTTTGACATATGTATTTTTGTAGATTTTCTTGGAATACTTGATTTGAAAGGATAGAACTTAGGTTATTTTACTGTGATTATCTTTTTTTTTTTTTTGTTCTTGGGGTCTCAGGATTAAAAGGCTATGTTGTACTTACTCAGTTTTTTTGTGCAGTTAAGTTGCTGGCATCTTTGAACTTACTGTGTACTTGGTTTATGTAGACACATCCTATTGGTTTCTTCTTGAATACCTAATGGTGATGTATTAATGTGATAGTTCTATGTTTGAAGAGAAAAACTAGAACTGGGCAAATTGGTGTGAACCCTAACAATAACTGTTCGAATGGATATGTAAGAAATATAATGCTTAATATTAAAGCCATTAATCACTCATACATCTAAAGGATATAATATCTTTAATTTGTGAAGTTTTGTTACTTAATAAATGTTAATAAATTTAGTTATTATTTATAATAAAGTCTTTAAAATTTATTCATCACAATTTTACACATATAAACACTGTCTCCATCATATTCTCCTTCAATTCCTCCTCCTTCTTCCCTCATGCACCCTTAGCCCATTCCTCTTTCCTCTTCGTGTTCTTTCCTTTTCCCTGTTTTCTTTCCCTTTTTTCTTTCTTTTTTTCTTTTTGTAACCCACTGAGACCAGTCAGTACTGCATGACAGAATGTTGGCTGACCTTGTTGACATAGTCTGGTACAGTTCTTGTGTAGTAACTGTAGCTAGAGTTAGTTCATGAATAAGATGGGCATGCCATTTTCAGAAGATGGCACCTCACAGCACCCTTCTTAATTCTCTAGCTTTTGCATTCTTTCTGTCATGATTTCCGAGCTTGGGTTAAGGGCTGAGTCAATAGTCACTTTCTCTCAGCATGGACCAATTCTAATTATCTGCAGTAGCTGCTGATGATCCCAGAGAAGCTTCTCTGATTAAGGTTGAGAGCAACATGAATCTATGCATTTAACAAATATTAAGAAATTTGACAGAATATCCATATAGCAAGACAACAGTATAGGATTCCTCCCCTAGGGCTAGGACCAGGACTGAATTTTCTCCTTTTGAATAGGTCTTATATGCAGTCCAAAAATGGATATTTTAACATCATAACTTGATAGTGTTATCAGCCAGGTACCAAGTATTCAAATATCAGGGCCTGTGGGGGATATTCTTATTCAAACCACTTAATCATATGGACTAAGACATTGATCATTTCTCTCAGGTTTTCCAATATGGTGAAATGTATCCTAATGACTCTCTGGATTTCATCAGTGTCTATTGCTCTATCTCCTTTTTCTCTTGTTTTATTAATTTGGGTCCTTTCTCTTGGCTAATTTGGCTAAGGGTTTATCAATCTTATTAATCCTTTTAAAGAACCAACTCTTCATTTAATTGAGTCTAGCTGTTTCTGTTTTATTAGTGTCTGCTCTGACTTGATTATTTTTCTCTGTTTATGGTTTTGGGTATTGTTTGTTCTTTTCTACCTCAGGTTCTTAGGCACATCAGTAAGTTGTTTACTTGGGTTTTCTTTGATTTGTCTGATGTAGACACTGAGACTGATATATCTCTTAGGACTATCTTTGTCATATCCCACAGATTTGCGTATATTATAGTTTTACTTTTTTTTAATTCCAGGAACTTTTAAGTTTTATTGTTTTCTTTTTATTTATTCATGCTAGAGTTTACTGGCTTGATCTTGTTCAGATCTTGTGCAAACAGCCATAGGTACTCTATATTTATGCTGGAAACAGTCCTGTCATGTTCCCAAGATACTGTTTGCACCCATCCTCCTGGACCTCTGTTTCTTACAATTCTTATGCCTCCTCTTCTGTGATAATGCCTGAGCCTGGGGGAAGGTTGCTATAGATTTTCCATTTGTGACTGAGCACTCCATTGTTGACTATCTGTGAGTGTGAGGTCTGAGAGCCGCACTAATCAATGGGTAGAGAGATTAAAATTTAGAGGACAATTCGATACTGTGTTCACTAAGTAAAATTATACTAGTTAGATTCACATCTGGGGCCTATGAGCTCCCCAACTTTGTGTTCTTGGCCAGATTTGGCAGTACAGGCATATGCTTCCTGTTGTAGAGTAGGCACTAAAGCCAATCAAAAAGTGGTGAATTACCCTCTAGTATTCATAGTACCATTGTCCTGGTCATTATTGTATTTTGCAGGGTTTGAAGCTGTTTTTCCCTAGCAGCCTAAATAGCTGCTTCTAGTACTCTGAAAATTAGCCAACAGGGAGGAAGCTTTTCATCAGTATCAAACAGGTCTCTTAGCCCTTACAAGTACCAACTTGCCTTCTCCATGTCCTGTGTAGTGTCAGTGTATAGACACCAATGTGTGTATTCTCTTCAGCAGTAAATTCTTGCCATCAGATTCTGGTGGAAAACTAAGAACAATAACAATAGCCTTTATTGTTTTGTGGGTCTCTGGGAGATATCTGGAGTTATTTCTCTACTTCATCCAAGACTTTTCATTTGGCAACCTATGGCTTCTGAGATGAACATAAGCCTATGTATAGGCTAGCTCCAATTAGACACACACACACACACACACACACACAGATTGTAAAATAGTAGGTGTACCTATGACCTTTTGGATATATTATCAGAGTTATCCTCTCCTTACATCTTCTACCCTATAGAACCATGCCTTTCCCAACTTACCAAGGTAAACCTCTGTTCTTATCATTTCTCCTTTCCCCTTAATGTACCTGAGCTCTTCTATCCCTTTCATCCTTTAAGATTTTTATTCTCCCTCCTTTCCACTGATCTTTTCTTCAACTTCCTGGATTCTGTAGGGTCTCCAAATTAAACACACAGACCTAAATATTTTATACTTAGATTCACAGCGAGAACATGTGATTTTTGTTTTTCTGGGCCTGACTAGCCTCACTCTGTATAGTTGGTTTTTTTTTTGTCTAAAATTTACCTGCAAAATTCATGATTAATTAATTAATTTTTTAACAACTGAAGAAATTTCCATTGTGTATAGGCGCCACATTTCTGGTGCCTGTTCATCACTTGCTGGCTATGCAAGCGGTTTACATGTCCTTTGAATAATGGACAGAACAGCCCTCAACATGGATAAGTATTTGTCTCTGGAATAGGAAATTGAGTTTCCTGCCCAAATGTGGTGTCGTTAGGTCATGTGGTTGATCTGTTTCTAACTTTCTGAGGAACTACTACAATGATTTTTCAGGTAGCATCTTCCTTTGATTTTCCAAACTCTTGATTTATTTTTTTTGGAAGAACTTACTATTGGTCCTTTACTAAGGGCCAGCTCAGTTGTCTTATGATATTTATCATTCCATATTGCAAGTATAGATAGTGCAGTAACTATATGTGATTCATCTAATTATAACAAAATGTTTAGTATAATTTTTAAAACTTAATCAAAAATGCTTGATAAATATTTTTTATCATGTTTTTCAGTCATACAGACCTTCGTGCTCTCTTAAGAGTGTATTTGACCTCAGGATGTTGAGGACTTAGAACCCTATTTGCAGAGCTCCTTCATCTCTTCTGGTTTATGTTTGGAGGTCATCATCACATCATCAGGGACAGGTTTGTGACAGCCTTATACAAAGAATCTGTCTCATTTTAACCTTTACTAGCCATTGTCATCTAGTATTCTGTATTGTTTTCCTATTTGGCACATTTATTTTATGATCCTTCTTATACTGCAGTTTAGAAGAAGTTTTTTTTGTCATGTTGCCTGATATATCCCCAAGACCTGATATTATGATGCCCAGATAGTAGGCACAATAAGTACTTGCTGATTGGGATGATGGGTAAAGATCAGCTGAAATTGACAGGAAATATTTCTTGGCAGCCTTATCTAAATGGTGATGGGGTTATTGTTATAAGTTTTATGATCTCATTTAGTTTCTGTGAAATCTAATCATGGATTGGTCAGGATTTTTGTTTTGTTTTGTTTTTGTTTTTTATTTGAATGTCTATACATGTTCCATCAGAAAACATTTCTTTTTAGCTTTGGCAGCTCTGCTGGCCAATTTTATGTCAACTTGACGCAGAAACTAGATTTATTTGAAAGAAAGGAACCTCCATTGAGAAATTGCCTCCAGGTGATCCAGATCTTAATTAGTGATCCATAGGGAAGGGCCTGCCCATTGTGGGTGGTACTGTCACTGGGCTGGTGAGTCTGTGTTCTATAAGAAAAGAAGTGAGCAAGTCATGGGGAGCAAGCTATTAAGCAGCACCCCTCCATGACCTCTGAATTAATTCCTGCTTCCAGGTCCCTTCCCTGTTTGGGTTCTTGTCCTGGCTTCTTTCAATGATGAACAGCACATGGACGTGTAAACAAACCCTTTCTTGCCCTACTTGCCTTTTGGTGAATGGTGTTTCATCAGATCAGTAGAAACCCTAAGACAGCAGCTTAATTTTTCAGGTAATTCTGTCACTGCAATAAGCAACTTATTTTCATTTGAAAGGATGAACTATTTTGAATATTCTAGTTGATTTTGATAATTATCTTACAAGAAAATAATGTTATAGTCGCATACGTTGAACATTGTGTCTAGTATGTAAAGAAACAAGAGAATAGTATAAAAGCGATTCACTGTCTTAGAAGCAAGCTGCTACTGAATTGATGTTTGATAGATCCATCAAAATGAGTGTCCTCTGACCCACTTTACATGGTCAGTTGTAGGGTATTGAACGCTAAAGATAACCTGAATTTTAATATCATTTGATTTTTGTGCTCAAAATTTGTAAAGAGATTCTTTTCTCTTTGTGATTTTTACATCATAGTTATCTTATGTCAGTTCTGCTTGGATTATTTTTCTAGAATTCTGAAGATTGTAACTTGGCAGTAAAAAAATCAATATTATTATATGGCTTCTAGTGACATAAGTATTCCCTTTGGATACCCATAAAAACATATAGTTTTCTCACTATAATCTGTATATATCAGCTTTCTTAGAGGTCATAGTATTAATGTTAGAGATGATCTTCTCAGGGACAGAAGTCCCCACATGGTCATAAAGTTAAAGATGCCACACAACACTTCCCAAAGATCATGACTTCTTTTCTCAACTAAGTTCATGCTTATTTTGTGATATAGAAAGTTATGTATTGATAGGTTGATTTTGAATGCCCCTTTAAATATATGAAATAGATTTGCCATTGGTTTTAATCATTAACATCCTTGTTGTTTTTATTATTTTTGTGTTCTCTGGAGTGTTATTTAAGTATAAGCTTTTTTTGGAAGTTTCTTCTTTTTTTTCTTGTATTTTAGGTTATATTTTAAACTGTGAGAAAATGGTTGCATTACAAAATAATTCTAGGCACGATTTTTCTATTGATTAAGAAATGAAATGCACTGTTTAAACTGTAAAAATATGCCTGAACTTTTAGTTTACATTAAAATATTTGTATCCTAAGTCTTAGTTGATTCTAGGTAATGTTTTATTGAGTCTCTGTGTGTGTGTGTGTGTGTGTGTGTGTGCGTGTGTGTATTAACAATGGGAAATCTGAGTGGTTATGGGGGGGGGAGTCTTAAAATTCCAAGACTTTATTAAATATTCTCCTTATCACTTTCATTTGTTACCATGTGTACCACATGTGTGTGATTATATAGTAACATTTTTTATTGTTTTTGCTTTCTCAATGCAAGACACTGGATATTAAGTGTGAAACTAGAACTTCTTTTCAATTTTATTCATCTTGATTAAATATTTTTCTGTCTTTTAAAATTCATGCTTAGTTATTTGTAGCATAAATTAATCCCAATTTAAACCTCCAGACTCTGTTATATTTCTTGTATGCCTGCTCATAATTATCAAGTATCAATACAATAGTTTTATTTCCTAACATACTTAAGTATAGATTTTAGATATGTATATATAATGATCTCGATCTGTTTACAGTTATTTAATAATTCAAATGAATTAAAAAATTCACTATGAATTTCTTATATTTCGTGCACTTGATAAGTAGTATTTGCCAAACCAGATTATAGTGTTGTGAACTGCTATAGATAGCATCATTAGTTTTTTCCTCTTGTTGATTGTTTATAAAGTAAGTTTATATGTAATAATAATAAACACAGTAACTTCAGAAACCATTTTTTAAAGCTCCTGGAGGGAGTAGACCTTCAGCTATTGGGAAGTAGTTTGTTATTTCAAAGAACTTGGCTTTCTTCCCTAAACTTAACAAAAAATACAGTTTCTTTTAATTGAGTTTAAATCATATTCAATGATTTTTAACTTTAGAAATAACATAAAACAGAAAAAGAGGCAAAATGACTTGTAATCCCAGTAAAATAATACAGATTATTATTTTAGCTTTCTCTGTGTGTACTCCTGTTCTGGATTTCATGGTATATTCTCATTTCATAATACACTTTTCATATGCTTACTTTTAATTACACTTAGTGAACCTCAGCATGATTTTCTCCCAATAACCATTTAATTTTGAAAATCTTGTTCTTGAATATCTTGACTTCTTAATAATTGATTTATATTTTATGTGCATTGATATTTTGTCTGCATGTATGTCTGTTTAAGAGTATTGGGTCCTCTAGAACTGAAGCTATAGATAGCCATGAATCAAACAATGAAAATCTGCAGGTTTTTGTTAAACTTAATATTCCTTATAGATATTGTATTAGACCAAAAGTTTCACATTAGCTTAGAGTTCACTTATTTTGCCGTGTCTCCCATTTCTTCAGTAATTGCTACTTCTTTTGTAGCTATGGGTTAAAATCATTATACCTGTTGACTTGGTAAAAAAACAAAACCTTGTCATTTTCCCATAGGTTCTGAGTTCTGTGAATAGTAATAGAAAGCGATCCATATTTGAAGAGAGAGCATAAGGTATCTTCAAATGCACTTGTTTTTAAGATCAGTTAGGCCTCGTGAGTAATGGGAAATGACTAGCAGCAAGTACAGTTCTCATAGCATGTTGGTTAGAATTTACAAGTAAAAGAAATGCAACTTTGAAAGCTGAAGAAATGCACTTTGTCTCCTTGATTTTTTTTTCAGATCCAGAAAACCCTGGTATTAGCTATGTTTTTGTCATATACTGAGATATATCCCAGCAAAGTAATGGCATGATCTCCATCCTCAGGAGTTCCCTGGCTTCACAGAGCAGCAGGGTGTGGGCATTAGACTAAAAAATAAACTACTACTCTAGAGAGTATAGAGCAGAGTGGAAATTGTCTGTAAGAGATAGGAGAGGCTTCATAGAAATAGTGATTCGTGAGCAAAGTTTTTGTAAAAGATCAAATGTAAAAGAGAAGAGAGATAATGATGAGAACTAACAGGAGAGGAAAAAACCTGTAGCGTGAGTGTGGGCAGTTGGTACTGCTTGGGTGTAGTCTGGGGAAGGTTTAGGAGGGGGATCACATGGGGCTGTAATGAAGACAGTGGAGAGGGACCAGAAATGGAACCTGCCATTTACAGAGTGCTGGATTTTATCCTTATTTTTTTAATCTTCAATTTCAGATTTATATTTTGCAAATACTGTGGTTTATGGAGAATTATGTAGTGAGAACATGGCTGTATATTGGACTAGTTAACTCAATAGTGTAACTAGATAGTTTGATTGATGGAGTGATTTTTTTCTGCCGTTAAAACTTTCTATTGAGACATACATAGATCTGTTATACATGGGAAGGAGGGTTAAAGGAGAGGAGAGAGGCAGGGAGGGGAGCAGAGAAAAATGTAGAGCTCAATAAAAATCAATAAAAAAGAATAGAATCTTAAAAAAAAACCTTTCTATTGATTTGTCAGATGTTATCCTATTTAAAGATGTCATCAAATGAATTCAATAAAATTAATTAATTGTTAATTTTGGGGTGTGTATGTGAATGCTTATAGTGGACATGTCTGTATTTATGCATCTGCATTTGGTATATGTGCATGTCTGTGGAGACAAGAGGTCAATGTTGGATGATTATCTGGATTGCTGGTTTTTTATCTCTTGGGCCAAGGTCTCTTACTGAATCCAGCACTTATCAAATGGCTAAGCTGCCTGCTCAGTGGACTCTGGAGATTTGTCTATCTCCACCATCCTAAGATAGAGTATTGCTAATTTTATAGTTTGAAATTCAAGAGACAAATAACAGCAAGTAGTTGAAAAAGGATCAGTATTTTACTTCTTAGTGAAATTAAATCATGGAACCTCTCACTAAAGGAAAAAATACAATTATAATTTGCTATTTAACATAGAATATAACTTTAAAAATGTAAGTAAAAAAAAATTTCATATGTACATACTTAATTATTTGTTACAGGGTTATTTGTTTGCTTTTTAAACTTATAATCAAGACTTCATTAATTCAAATCATGAAATAAGAAACTGATATTTTTAAGTATAATGTTAAATCTCAAATCAAGAAAGAATAAACAAATTTGTCAGATATAATTAAAGTCATATGTGGATGTAAAATTGTTACTTTACAAAAATATGTACTTAAGAGATCATTGCAATTCATAATTGGAAAAACACATTAAAAATAGCTTTAATTTGTCTCAAGAACAGCATGGCATGTAAGATTTCTGTTCTAGCTTGCTTTCTGCTACTGTGCTAAAACACTGACTAAAAGCCACTTGGGAAAAGAAAAGGCTTATTTGGTTTGTAAGTTATAGTTCATCAGCTGGGCGGTGGTGGCGCACATCTTTAATCCCAGCACTCAGGAGGCAGAGGCAGGCTGATCTCTGTGAGTTCAAGATAGCCTGGTCTATAAGAGCTAGTTCCAGAACAGGCTCCAAAGCTATAGAGAAACCCTGTCTTGAAAAACCAAAAAAACAAAACCCCAAAGGTCATAGTGCATCACCAAGGGAAACTAAAGCAGGAGCTTGAAGCAGAGACCACTGAGCATTGTTTCTTACTGTCTTGCTTCCCCTGGCTTGATCAGCTTTCATTCTTTTACAGCCTAGGCTTGGGAAAGATAGTATTGTTCGCAGTGAGCTGGGTACACCCATATGAGTGAGCAGTTGAGAATATGTCCATAGGCCATCTGATGGAGGCAGTTCTTCAACTGAACTTCTCTTCTCAGGCGTGTCAAGCTGACAGTCACATTACCAGGATACTTTCCTAAGGATTTTGATGCATCAATCCTTAGCACTTTGTTATCACAACAGGAAATAGTCAGACAAGGAAATAAAAAGAATGATAGAATAGTGGAAATATAAAATATTAGATAGCACTATCTTTTTAATATTATACCAGAAATTATTTCTATTTAAGAACATACATCGATATAGTATATATTAGTAGCATTAGTATGTATGTATCATAAACAGTGCATTAACGTTTCCTGATAGGCATTATTTACAGTTTAAACAAATATTAGGGAAGTGGATTTATTCCTATTAGCCAGACTTTTTAATTTTATGTAGAATATTATCATTTCTCATAGTTTTTAGATTGCAAGGTTAATTT